TACACACCTCTTATCGACTGGATATCGGCGACAAATCTCACGGCTGATAAATGTAAATGGTTCGGTCATGGATATCCGACGGTGGTGTTTTGGGGAATAAGTTAAACTCAAAATAGTAGAACATCAAAATCATTTGATCTTGTTTGCAAAACAGCTCGCAAGAAAGTGTCAATTTGTATCAATTCTGTCAAGATATATATTTCATAAATAACTCTTTCCTGGAATGTTTTGTATGGCGACCTCATCAATTTAAAGTAATATTTTTCTGAAGAAATGTGCATCAATCGATAACACTGTGCAAATGAATGACAAATGATATTTTTATATAACATTAAAATGAAAAAATGAAACAAATAATTTATGAGTATGCCAATTAAATGCTTCATTTTAATAACATTTATTCTTTGGACAAAAGTAAATAATGAACTTAGAACTTGAGTATAATAAAAATTTATTCCTTTACGCATTTACCGATACATGAAATTATAATTTGGTAACGGATAATGCTGGTCAACCATAGACATATTGAGATTAATGAAAAACCTATCTTTTTTAACCTGTTGTATTTTGTCTACAGCCTTTTGTACAAAATCTAAAATAATTAATTTGCTTTAGTTCTATATTAGATTATTGCGACCTGACATTACATTACAGTCAAAAGGACACAAAAGGCTGTTCCTTAGCAATCTCTAATATAAGATTTTTGTGTTCTTTAGATAATTCATATTATAATGCTGCCTTTCACGAATATAATGCTTATTTTTTATGGAGAAAAGGTCAACACTGTCAAGAAGAGATAAATTAAAGGGACATTATATTTGGGTGATTTATGTTTTACATATTTGTCGATAATATTTTCAGTGCATTTGATTTAACATTATATTGAAAATGAATATGATATTTAGAGTAAAATATATACTTTTGTCTTAAAAGTATTTACTAAAAATAACATCCCAACACATATTTATACAGTCAAAAGTGACACTTTTTTCAGTGGCTAGCAATGCACGTTTTTCAACTTACGACAAATTCTCTTTTAGATGTTAAATCAATATTAGAAGCATTTTTAAGAAGATGTTAGTCAAATTGAAGAAAATTGTGAGGAGAATAGACAAAAGTTATACAGACTAATTTATCAAAAGGGAGTTGGTTAAGGACTACTACTGTCTTTCTATTTTCTGTAAAACAAATAACTTTGTTTTAGAAGTAAAAACTATATCACTAACGATAACATCTGTAATAATCTCTGTTTATCAGTTTTCTATATAAGTAAATTATAAATTTAGAAAATTCAGTATTTTTGAACTGATATAACTATGATAACCAGTTAACGATTTTTATAACATGCTTTTTATTGGACAGTTATATAAATAGCCTGATTATATCTGAATGTAGATGAAAATGATATGATCTAAATAAGTTGAAATATCGTCAGACATACACGCCGTCGTGAGTAAAATGTGCTTGATTAAGAGGAGCACATGAAACTACGCCAACACTTGAAAATATTACATCTGGTCTTCACTTTGTTAAATATATATCGATCCAACATGCAAAACAAACACATATCCTCTTAAGTATGTAATACTTGTATATTCAAATAGACTTATGTACTATGCCATATAAATAGATACGTATAATACCAGCAATAATTCTAAAAAGAACAAGTGAGCAGTTTTTGCTTACCTTGAATAATGTTCCAGTGTAACGAAAAAAAGGTAGGATGACGATTGAACTTTTGAATGTAAAACGAGGTTTTATCTCATTACTGATAACAAAACATTGTAATAATATTAGAAAATTTTAGCGATATTTTGTGTATTAACAGCAATTTTCACAACTTTTGTTGTTTTTCCTTTACTTTGATTTTGTAAATGAGATATTTGAAAAGCAAATATTTTACCAATTCAGAGATATAACGGAAATGAAACTATTAATTTGACATTTAATACAACACATGCATCAAACATATATCAGCTCTACTAAAATCAAAAGTGACAATGCTTACTTGTTTTTGCTCACTATATAGCACTTCTTCATATCTTATGCCAGGATGTTAATTGTTTTCTCTCCAATTCAGTTTTCTTTTCAAGACCCGGTTATCATTCGTCTATTTGTAACCAGAAACACTTCTGAATTGCCATGCATTTAGGCGATCAATATTAATTTTCTCTAACTTTTCTTGAAGAGGTGCATTTTGATATCTGTCTCGAAGAATTTCCCATTTTTTATAGTCTTAGAGATTCTTTTTTTGGGACAGGGATTTTGCATAATTTCATGCAAGAAAGCTATACAGCTAGTTTAAGAAACGTCGGTGGTTCTATATAGATGCCTGAAATAACAACTGAGGTAGATTTGTCTCCACAAGTAAAGCTGAAATGTTTCCAAGCTAAATGTCAGTTTTACTGAGTTTTTGGATGGTTTGCTAGAAGTAAAAGAATTGTATGTACACCCATAGAGTTTCGTACAAAACGATATTATTTTAATCTCTAGGTCGTAGGAGTTCTCCTAATAACTAAAATAATTTCTAGGAAAGGAAAACGAAGTTCTTAATAAAATGTAAATAGATTTTAGATGTAATTTTAAATAATTTACATAAAAGATCATATGGGAACGTGACAGATATTCTTTTTCTCCATCATTTGACTAAACTGACATTAGAAACCATCGATAACATGTGGCGCTGCTCATTTGCTTAAATAAATATATCTAACGTCTGAACGATATGTACTTAATCAGATTATAAAAAGTCTTATTGGCTCCATAGGGAAAAACTCACAACACGAAATGCAAACAATATATCGACTAAGACAACATTAATACTCCTTAAATACTTACTGAAATCAAATACTTAATTTGCCGAAGTCTAGGAAAATATTTGTGTTGAATGATTTATACTTTATAGAACATCTTTTTGCGTCAAGTTTATGTTTGTTGCATATTCAGTCATGCTTAATTGGGTTTTATTACATTTTTTTCTATTAGTTATTCTACAATTTCATTTCAGAAAATAAACGTAGTTTCGTGTATAGGTACAAACATGATAGATGAATAATTTTGAATGTGATACATTTTCCAGCACCTAAGGAAATCAGTAAAAAAACAATATAAGTTGTTGTTCAATTTTATTTTTATGACTTGCTTACTTTTCATATCAAGAGGCACTAAAACAAAAGACAAAGCTATTCCCAACGTTTATTCAACACTATAACTTATTCAAAAACAGTTATTAGATTTCTATAAATGACACATTATTTTTTATTATTTATGTTACCGGTAAAACACAAAAATTATATTGTCGATCTTTCTTTCTATTGACCATTTCAGACCAAATTGATGTCAAATTGCATATATTTTCATATTTATATAATACTTCAAGTTCTTTTTATCAAAATTAATATTATTTCTGTTTAAAAATTATATTTATATCATTCATAATTTGATGCCGGTTTACCATACTCGGTAACTGGTCACATTAAATGTATAGACAGTTCGTACGCCAATTATATTTTGCGTTTGTACATATACCAAAATTGTATTGTTTATATTCTAAAATGGATTTTTTAATAATGAATGCTTAATTAGGTTGTTCAAAAGTCATAAACTTTTATTTCTGAATTCTTGTGATCCCGTGGTTGCTCCGCTCTAACGACACTTGACACCTGCAAATGACTAAACATGCAATTCTACCACATAGTATAATATTTTATTGATAGTTTCTACAAACATGATACTAGCTACTAACATGATTGATGGTAAAATTGTTCACCTATCAGCCACTATATCCATAATCATTTTAATAAACTGTTAGTTGTTTACAAAGTAAATTTAATTTTTTTCGTTGTTTAACATCGGATAATAAAGTTTAGTTATGACGTAAATATTCCAATTACAGCTATCAGTTATTTTAACATATATTTTTCTTTGTCATTAGCCTATTTTGTGAGTGTGTTGTTATGCTTATTTCTACGCAAAATAACTCTATTGACATTATATCATTCATCCAAAAGAAGAAAAGACAAAAATATTACCCATTTTTATAATGGTGCGTTTTTTCCTGGACGTTGAGGTTGACGAAAAGTAATTTTGTAGCACTTTGTAACTTTGAGTATTTGTTATACTTCCTTTCGTTTATCTGTTGTTTAATGGTCAGTGTCAATACGTCTTTGTATCAGACTAAAAGCATCACCTTTTAAGCAAGTGTGTCAGATAATTATTTATTGGGGCGTAGATCATTCTTGTCGTAAAGACGACGTTACGTTAGCGGGAACGGAAGGCAGACAACGTTACGTTGGCGGGAAGAAGAGTTCATACGACGTCATTTCCGTTGTATTGTTATTTTACCGTAAATAAACATTATCATTTTAGACACAACGCAAAGTAGTTGCTTCTCATTTCACTGACCACTTTTACATTTTGGTGCCGTGACAAAAACAGAAATTATGGATATTTTGAGAATAAAGAAGAGAAGAAGTGCACATAAGGCTGTGATAACACGTCAACTTGGCAAATTAGAAGAATATGCGGGCGATAATACGCACTTTACTACCGTTATTGAAACTCTACGTAACAAACTTATGGCGCTGGAAGAGATCAACGAGGAGATAATGTCGCAGGTAGATGAGGTAGACATGGAGACCGAGATGCTCGAGACTGAGGACTATATGCTGGAAGTTCGGCTACGCATTGGAGATTTGGAGGCTCAACACCGCGCTGCCGTGGAGATCACCCGTTCCCCACAGATTACCCTTGAGAATACCACACTTGAGGAGCCCCTAAATAGTAACAACCATGAGACCGCACAACCCGTGCACAGTAACGCTGATTGAACTTCCGGGAACCGAATTAATAGCACATCGGCTAATAACGTAAGTAACATTTCAATTCAGTCTGCTTCACAGTTTCATAAACTTCCGAAGCTTACACTACCAAATTGTACTGGAGACATTTTAGAGTGGCAAACATTTTGGGATTGTTACGAGTCAAGTATACATAACAACATGTCACTTTCTGAGGTGCAGAAATTTTGCTATCTGAAAACTCTATTGTCCGACGATGCTGCCAGTGTGATTGATGGTTTGAATGTTACACATGGAAACTATTCAGAAGCTATACATTTACTCAAGGAACGTTTTGGTCAGACACATAAAGTTGTAAATGCGTACATGCAAGGTTTGCTGGATTTACCTAGACCAACTTCCCAACTGTCCAGTCTAAGACCGTTTCAAGAAAAGATGGAGGCATATATCCGTGGTCTACAGTCCCTAGGTCAAGGTCATGAGTCCTTTGGAAATTTACTTATACCGGTCATACTTGAAAAACTTCCGGCGGAGATCAAGCGGAACATGACACGCGACCATGGCGGGAGTGAATGGCGACTTCCGGAACTTAGGAGAGCGTTAAAGAAGGAGATAAATATAATAGATTCAGGCCAGCCAACACAGACTACATATGAACATTTGGCAACTGCATCTTTCCTTACAAGCACAAGACCAACACAAAAGAAGAAAAGTTTAAAGCACATACAAGAAGTCCAAATACCCCAACGCCCCCAATGTCCTTTCTGCAGTGAAAAACATTTTGCTAATGACTGTAAAAACATCATAAATCCTAGGGAGAGAAAAGCCATTATTCATCGCAAGAAACAGTGTTTCAACTGTTTAGGCAAACATCTTGTTGCTTCCTGTCGCTCAAAACACCGGTGTAGAAAATGCAACCGGAAACACCATACCAGCATTTGCGATCAGAGTATCGGAAGCTCACTGAACACATCGGCTCCAAGTTTCGTCCCTACTTCCGGTAGTGAAGCAACAACGCATCTTACTTCCGGTTCCAGTGTACAATCGGCTATTCTACATTCTGCAACACAAAGTAGAAACAACGTTTTACTGAAGACTGCTGTTGCTGAGGTTACTTCCGGTCACGCCTGTGCTAAAGCAAACATTTTATTTGACGAAGGAGCGCAGCGTTCATTTATTACTCATGAACTCGCCGAAACACTACAATTACAGAGACGCGGGTCTGAAGTTGTACATCTGGCTGCATTCGGGGCGGAGTCCAAGAAAGTCGGCCATTTTGAAACCGCCACAGTTTACTTGATAACTGACAACTCAGAGAAAATTGCCATTGATGTCTTAATTGTGCCGTCTATTGCTGTGCCTTTACGTAACCAAATACGAGCTGCCACACATTTGCCATATTTACGAGGTTTGAAACTAGCCCATCCAGTACCGGAAGTTGACACATTCAACATATCATTACTAATTGGAGCGGATAGATATTGGGAGATCATTGGAGACCGTATTATACGGGGCGACGGACCGACAGCTGTCCAGTCAAAGATTGGTTTTCTTCTGTCCGGACCACTTCCGGTGACGTCATCAAGTACCGCTACGAACTACATTATGAATATTATTACATCTGCACCAGATTATGATGATCTTGAGCGATTCTGGAAATTAGAATCCATCGGCATTTTACCCGAAGCAGAAGAAAAAGCTTCTGACTTACATAATTATCAGAAGAACTGCATTACCTTTGAAAATGACAAGTATACTGCTTCGTTGCCATGGAAACCTGATCACCCTAATTTACCCGACAACTATAACATCACATTAAGAAGAACTCAGAACACAATACGACGACTACGTGAAGACCCCCCTTTACTACAAAAGTACGACGGCATAATTAAAGACCAGGAAAAGAGAGGATTTATAGAGAAAGTGAATGTTTTATCAAGTGAGCGTCCCGTGCACTATATCCCACATCACGGAGTTAAGAAACATTCGGCCACCACCCCTATCCGTATTGTGTTTGACTGTAGTTGTCGTCAAAACAAAAATTCACCGAGTCTTAATGATTGCCTTGAATCAACCCCTCCTGAGATCAACGAATTGACAAGTATCTTAGTGAACTTAAGGAAGCACAGATATGCCGTCTGCACAGATATTGAAAAGGCTTTTCTTCAAATACAACTCAACGAGAATGATCGTGACGTCACACGATTTCTATGGTTGAACGACATTTATGATCCAAATAGTGACCTTACAACATACAGATTCAAGTCCGTGCTTTTTGGTGCCACATGTTCACCATTTATACTTCATGCCACTTTAACCAAGCATCTGAGTGCCAATGATCATAATTGGGTGAGTGCAATACTTAAGAAAGACTTATATGTTGATAACGTGATGTCTAGCTTTTCTGACGAGAGTACTCTACTTGACTACTTCCAGAACACACGCAAATTGATGACATCTGCTGGTTTTAACTTACGGTCCTGGAGCTCTAACAACAGTTCTCTGCGCAGCCTAGCGGAAGCGGAAGCAGTAGCAGAAACTGAAGAAATAACTAACATCCTTGGAATGAAATGGGACCCGATATCAGACCAGATTTTCTTAGCACAGAAGACCATTTCTACTTCCCAATTTATGACAAAACGTGTCATACTCAAGGAAACAGCGAAGATTTATGACCCCCTTGGCTTCCTGACCCCACTCACAATTCGTGCAAAAATCCTACTTCAAGATATTTGGAAGCAAAAGTTCGAGTGGGACATGTCCCTACCAGATGACCTACAGACCCAATGGTATAACTTTGCTAAAGACTTAAACAGTGTAATCCCTACCAGATACCCGAGAAGTTACTTCAAGGATACTGACTCTTTGGCATTTACTTCCGGTATAGGCGACAGTGCTGCCAGCGCATCCTCAGATATTCATCTTCATGTGTTTTGGTCCGCCAGCCTTTAGGCCTATGGATCAGTAATATACATTACACGTAGTGACCAGTCTGCACGTGTTATGTCATGGACACGTGTCGCACTTTTGAAGCCTCTGACATTATCAAGGCTTGAACTTATGGCTGCAGTGATTGGTTCAAGACTTCTGCAGCACGTACTACAGACGATACCTACAGCATCCGTACACATGTGGTCTGACAGTCAAATTGTTCTTCACTGGCTGTCATCCAACCGGAAGTTGAAAACATTTGAACAGAATAGAGTGACTGAAATATACAATCTTACAGAGAACAAAAGGTGGATGTTCTGTCAGACCGAGCACAATCCGGCTGACATGTTGACAAGAGGAATGACAGCTACTGAATTTCTGAAGAATAGATTATGGGAGAAAGGTCCTGATTGGTTAACTGATGAAAGTCGGTACCCGAGCCAACCAGCTGTTGTAACAACTGTTTTACTCGCAGAAGAACAAGATGATACACTTGTTACCATGACAACCTACGGCATTCACAATGTCATTGATATCAACAGGTTTAGCCGTTACAGAAAGCTTCTTAGGGTGACAGCCTATATGATGAGATTCATTCAACATTGCCGATCTGCGAGAACTTCCGATAATACGTCAACTCTGACGTTAACTGTAAAAGAACTTGCCGATGCTGAGAAGTTGTGGCTTCATAATTGCCAAGCAACCACATATAGCGCTGAGATTACATGTATCAAGACCGGAAGGAGAAACCTAACGCTTGTTAGGCAACTACAATTATACCTTGACAATAATGGCTTCATTCGCTGTGGTGGTAGGATTCATAACGCCCCTTTAGCTGAGCAAACCCGATTCCCATATCTGCTTCCGGCAAACCACCAACTGACGAAACTTGTAATTATAGACGCCCATGAAAGACACTTACACGCAGGTACGAGTGCACTTATTACCCATATACGCCAGAAATATTGGATTCCATCAATACGCCAGTGTATTCAGAAATTACTCCGGAAGTGTAACCAGTGCCGCCGAGTGTCAGGAAGACCGTACACAGCGCCAGATCCCCCACCTTTGCCAAAGATACGAGTTCAAGATACACAACCTTTTACTGTGACTGGAGTTGATTTCACCGGAGCTTTACATTTACGAGGAAAAAACAAAAATGAGAAGGCATACATTTGTCTTTTTACTTGTGCTTCGACCAGAGCTGTTCATCTAGAAGTAGTCTCAGATATGACTGAATCTTCATTTTACAAGCGTTTAGGCGATTCAGTAGCAGAAAATCTCTACCCAAGGTTATGATATCTGATAACGGAACAACTTTTCAAGCAGCAGCAAATACAATACGCCAATTAATGAATTCTACTTCCGTAAAAGACACGTTACACAACCATGGTACAGAGTGGAGATTTATTCCCAAGCTCGCTCCCTGGTTTGGTGGTTGGTGGGAAAGATTAATCGGTCTTACCAAAACAGCTATCAAAAAGGTTCTTGGTGGTGCATACGTCACTTATGATACTCTCCAAACAATCGTAACAGAGGTAGAAAGCGTCATGAACGACCGTCCATTGACTTACGTTACGTCAGAGTCAACCGATCCAGAACCAATTACACCAGCTCATTTGCTATACGGACGGCGTTTGACAGCCCTGCCTTACAATGAAGATATATCCGAACCAAAACCAGTTTCAAGAGATGGGATTACCAAACAAGCGAGAATACAGTCACAGATCATTAGCCATTTCCGGGATAGGTGGCGCCACGAGTACTTGACGTCATTACGCCAGTATCACAAAACTACGGGAAACAATAGCCAAACGATAAAGGTCGGCGATGTAGTAATTATTCATGATGAAACCCCGAAATCACAGTGGAAATTAGGAACTATTGAACAACTGATCACTGGTAAAGATGGATTGACACGAGCAGCCATGGTTCGCACCAGTAACGGGCACACTACATCAAGACCAATTGTAAAGCTCTACCCCCTTGAGACTATGTAACAGTTACCATATTTTGCGCCTGGGAGGATGTCGTAAAGACGACGTTACGTTAGCGGGAACGGCAGGCAGACAACGTTACGTTGGCGGGAAGAAGAGTTTATACGACGTCATTTCCGTTGTATTGTTATTTTACCGTTAATAAACATTATCATTTTAGACACAACGCAAAGTAGTTGCTTCTTATTTCACTGACCACTTTTACAATTCTATTTTGTTTCGTTAGTGCTCAAATGGGCACTGTCAATGTTTATTTGTCAGACGTAATGTTTCTTCATTTTCCCATTTCTCTTCCATTTATGTCTAAAACAACAACGTTTCCAAGAAATGAAGCACCAACAAGAACGTGTGGCTTTCTATTCAGTTTTTTAAATTGATTTGTGTGTTAGATTATTTGTCACTTTGCTTGTTTTACTGTCATTTCTACTAGTAAAAACAGCGTTTAAATTATTTGAAAATTAACCGTCTTTAGAGCACATCAGTCATTCAGAAAAAAATGTTAATGTTGTTAAACAATCACCAGTTAAACCAGAATGATACAATTGGTCAAAGTGGAAACTGAAATATTTATCGGAAAGAAAGACTCATTGCAAAAGCATCATTTTCATATTGCAACCAACAATGACTCATAAAAATGTGTGAATCATGTCAATGTAGTTATATCAATTGCGTTTCTAGAAATTATTCTATATCAAAGTTCGCATTGTTTATATAGTATCAGGAATGCTATATTGAATGTTAATACACATGACATTTGAATAGCACATTCAATTTATAGCTAGAAATAACTTCTGAAGCGAGGTTTGTGTATATTGTAACATACATATTTAAATAACATTACATTTCTTCATGTCGTACTGTGAACATGTAGTATATGTTCAAAAGATGACCTTGCTATGAAATGATATTTCTTTAAAAAATATTAAAATTTAAAAGGTTTTCAATTATCATTCATTTGCATACATAGTCCAACATATCAGATAATGTGTGATTTTATAAGATTACGCACAGTGGCATATTCTAATCGAGGCGGACAAGTACATGTTTCTTCGGGCAAACTTGTGTTTTCGCACTGCAAAGTTATCGTTTTGATCATAACTTGAGTCGAATTATCCTTGATTGTATCAAAGAAATTGTCAAGAATTGTCTGCCCTTAAGAGATAATACATTAACTATAATTCTGAGATCTTGACTAAAGTCTGTTCGATAATAAGAACAATGGCAAAGAAATACATACTGACGTTGTAAAGAAAAGTTTTGATGATTTAAGTACATATCAAAAAAATCGTTAATGCATATCATTATAATGCAATCTTGTAATCGAGTGTTGCACGTGTATAAAAAGACGTAAACGTGTTATATTAAACCATTCAGTTACAAAAAAAACATCATTATTCTGTAGCAGAATAGTTTGTGCTTATTTATTTGCTATTTAATAATACTAGCAATAGAGGTGTGTCGGTTTCATATTCAAATATTAATTTGAGATTAAAATACTGCACTAAAAATGTTTAATTTCCTGCACCTATAATTGATTCAATATTGCCACTATAAACACACATTTGATATTTCTACTACGGTCAGTAGCAGTCAGTGTATCTTACTGTAGTTTATAAAGAATATAGTTGAAGTTTTCAGAAATGCAACTCTGTATGTATTACCAAAATATTGCGCTTTTGAAAGTAGATGTAACTCTGATAATAACCACACAACAAATATGACACAATGTACCTAGTGTCTGATCCTCCGAGACATAACATCTAACTCTATAACAGCGAACACAAAGCATTTGAATATACGAGTCATAATTATTATATTCCCAATTGAACTTATTTTTTTCTCAAATTGTGAGAATTTGTGTTTTCATTTCCTGAACGTTAATTCAAACATTACTCATCTTTTCCCAAGACAGGTTATTTACAACGTTCTTTTACTACATATTATTGCCCTTAAAGAGTTTCTACATTATTTATATTTATTTCCGTGGCAGGTCTGGGAGAAAGGAAACATCTTACAACATATTTATACATATTATATGACATATGAATGGCTTACATTCAGAGTTTTCAGATCATTTATTTTTTAATTGAATAGAATAAAATTCGATCCTTAGATTTTTAATGTCACATGACTTGATCTGTTTCTTAATATGTTGATGGCATTTCTGCAGAGTTATCAAGGTAGGTGCAGGGATTCATTTCTGTTTATGTTTGAATATATATTACGACGTTAAGGCTGTTGATACACGCATTAATTGATGTCCAAAAGAGCGGTGATGCTACCTTTTTTGATATGTGTTCAGGCGTCAATATGAAGTTCCGACACGATACTGATCGTAATGTTTACTTGTGGACGCCGCATTTCATGGTATGGCATTTACGTGTCACATTGAAGGTTCCATTATAACCGCCATTTGAACACATATGCGAATGTTTCAAAATTCCAAATTGTACCAGTTCATGTTAAATGTTGAATTCTGCTTAAGCCGGTACTACGGGGTGTGGACGGTAGTTTGCACTTGACAGTACCGTCCATAAACAGGCTCAGTCAAACCGAGTTTGCACCATTTTCAATTTTGCCGTGTTGGGCTTTTTTATGGATTCTTATTCTCTCTATATTAGTATCAATCTACATGTTATTGCAATAATATCAAACACCGTCACTTTTTCAAAGGTGTTGATTTTAGTTTTGTTTAGCTCGAGACTTCCAAATATGAAACCCGTACTTCAATCTGTGCATATTTTAGTGCTTTATTTTGGAAGTCGGAGATAGAGTAATATAGAAAAAAACATAAATCGCTAACTCAATAGTCATTTACTAAGCATATACCGGCAATTCTTTTAGGCTATAATGAAAGATAATATTTTGAAAGTCCCAAGAAATTTGTCACCAGAAGTACGTAATTGGTTTGCTTTAAGTGACAATTTAGAGTGTTTACATTTCAAACTTGATACTTCAAAACTTAGTCCTTCAGACTTCAATCTTCCAACTTGTAACTCTACGCTTCAAACTTCAGTCTTCTGACTTTAAACTTCACATTTCTGATATTAACTATACATTAGGTCTAAAATGAGAAGTCTATAGTCACCACCGGTCTTTCGTTATTATGTTCAATACTGTAACACTGATATCTTTAACTTTTGTCTTTAGTTGATATATTTTCTATTATGAACCTCTGGAGCCTGTCCAGGAATCGATTTGAACCATTTTATGGAGGTTAGACTCTGTCAAATGAATTTGAATAATTGCGTCTTATATTGATTGCATGTCTGGCTCACATTTAGAACTTTATATACAGTCCACGGACTTAATCATAAAATCTCTGCTATATATTTGATTTTGTATGTAAGAGATCTATTCGAGTCACTGAAGACTGATAAAAAACGTCGATTACGTAGTGTCAAATTAAGGGTTCAGACCGAACGACACTTAAATCATGGTCTGAACTGGATTTTATTTTGTACAGATATAACACGGAAAGTGATTAGAACTGTTAGTACTATCTGTAAAAGAGTTCAGCAATAATCATACCCTTTTGCGTTATATTATGATGGACACAGATCAAACTGAATTGTTGAAGATATGAAATATAATATAGACTTATGATACACAAAACGTAATTCGTTACGTAATTTCGTAATAGGCTTATTGACGCCACAAGCGAGATGATACGCGTAGATAGAACCATTTTTTTGTGTTTCGATCTGAAGTAAGGGGCATATTGGAAACTATCGTAATAACAATGCCATTTAAATATATAGGACCAGTAAGATGTTTTGTAGTCAAATATTTTTAAAATTGTATTGTATTACTGATATCATTTAATGAGTGTATCAACTTGATGATTTGCAGTGTAACATATTATCTAAATTGGCAAAATCAACTTTCTTAACATTTTTGAATAATATGTTTTGACACTCACCGTAATTGTTAGCCTTTCGTTTATGTTTGAATTAATAAATAATTAAGTTCCTGATTTCCTAATACAAAATTATCTTTAGTATTTGCTACGCACTGGTTGCTTTGTGTTCCGACCTGATGGGCGTGATGGTAAAACAGTATGAGTAGTATTTGTGGTTTTTTAGTCTAAATGGACTATATAAATGTTTTAGACTCTAATTACCTTACTTTCAGACAGAAATGTAAAATATGAGGGCTCTCTAAATAACTGTCTTGTTTACATAAGATTTCAAAACACAGCATCACAGTAATAATAGGAAAACATAAATCTGACGCACAAAATAATACATTATCGACATGATATAATGACTATTAGAGAAGTAACTTCCTTTCCATCATAAC